AGAGAGAGAGAGAGATTTATGGGTATCCAAAATTGGGGAGCAGGAAGAAGGCACTTACTTGCAGAGTTTGAGGAAGTTTTTCGAAGTTAATGGGCAGCGATCAGTGTTGAGATCGACCACAATGTCCCCCAAGCTCGTCACCAGAAGAACCGACATCGTCTGTCCCCTCTGCAATCAACAGATCCTCTCTCTCTTAATTTGTGATCGAGAATATAGAGGGAAAATGCAGCAGTAGTCGAGAGAGAAGATTGTAGAGCTCGAGCTATTAAGAAAGGGAGAGCAAAGCAGGGAGTGGCGGCATTTTCCTAGGTGTGTTTAACAGAGAGGAGTGCTAGTTTCGAATTTGGAACTCTTTAAATTTTGAGGAAATTGAAAAAAAAAAAAAATAGCGGCAGTTATTTCTCTGAATTTTGGACCATGTTTGTTTTAAGGAAAATTGCTTCCTGCGGCTGGGGACCGCATTTCTACATTTGTGGTCCCCGAGGTATATGGCATCCATCTTTAAGATGGATGCAGATAGGTGGTCCATATAAAAATAATTAAAATTAACGGTCCAAATATTTTTTTAATAGAATTATTATTATTATTATTATTATTATTCATATTCATGATATCTATGTTAGAGATTACATGTTCTTAAAAATTAGGTCCAAAAATCTATTTCAAAAATAGCCTTTTAAGAGGTTATTCATTTGCACATGGAGTCATAAAAAATGTGTCCTTGTTTTAACCCGTATCTTCTAAACTTTGATGTATATCGTCATTATCTTCTAGTCCTTATCTCAATTGTTGGAGTCAACTATAGGAATTCAATCCAGCCATTCTGCTCTATCAACTGTCGTACCTTAGTCGAACGATAAATCGTCATCTCACTCACTGCTCTCATCCATGTTCTTTTTGGATCATTTCCTTGGCCTTTTAGAACCTTCTACTTGAATTGAATCGACTAATCGATGTTATATTAGGTCTACACTGCACACTATCAGCTACCTAAGTCTACTTCCTTTATCTTATTGCTTATTGGAGCAGTCCCTAAGGGGTCGTTTGGATACCTGGAAATATATTGTCTGTGAAATATATTATTGGCGTAATACACTACCTGCAAATGGATTGTCATCGTTTTGGTGGTAATTAGATGCAACTTGGAAAATGCATTGCTACTGTTTGGCTCTGTCTAGAAGAAATATGGGAAATGCATTACCAACATTTTACCAGCACTTGCCTATAAATTAACATTTCTTTCTTTTTTGTCACAAAATTCCATTGAAATTTGGAATTAAATTTTACCATCACTTGCCTATAAGTTCCCTCAGATATATTCATTCAGAATTTTATCATTTCTTAGTATCTTACCACTCATCCATCTCAATATCCTGACCTCCACTACACTTATTCTATGGATATATTGTTTCTTAACTATCTAACATTTCATCCAATAAAAAGTATGGCAGGTCTTGCAATCGTATGATAGAACTTCCCCTCAATTTTATTGGTATGTGTGTCTACACAGGATTCCAAGACCAACCATGCTAAGAGAAGTATGATATGTCTCAAATCGTGTGCAAACGTAGTTATTTTAAAAAGAAATCAGCCTTAAAAGAATATACTCTTAACAAATCTGCATCTAAGCCGACATAGATAGTGTTGTAGACACCCTATCTCGAATGAAATAATTGTAAGAAACTAAAGAACTCTGGTACATCCATCGTGAGCCTTAAACAAAGAATCCTAGAAACCAGTATCCCTAAACCTCAACCCTTACTCCGAAATTCAATAAGAAGCCCTGAATGGTCAAAAACTACCCTACAAAAGTTTGGGATCCAAATAGAGCTCCCCAAGGTGGTTCGTAGTTCAACAACCCAGCTAGTAGCGCCAACAACGGAGGTCGGGTAGTTGGGCAAGCATTCCAATAACATCACTTGTAAAACCAAAGAAGTAGAGGCCTCGTTGAGAAGTTGGTGGCTCAAGTTATGAGCGTGCAAGTCGAGAGTCATGTTTTGGAATGAGGGGGCAGAAGCTCATGGTCACTTGAACAACAGGGGTGGCGTTGCCAATGAATCCACCAGCATCGCCATTCTCTAACTGCCCCAAACCCCCGCCATCCACCAAGTCTTAGAATGTGCAAATCACAGGCAAGAAGTAACCATCATTATCCGGATGATAGAGGTGATGTCACATTGTCCATAATTCTTACTGTCGTGTATTGTGCAAACTGTAATTATGTTTTCAGCTCCCCTAATGGCACCACTAGAGAGGCCAATAGCATCATTGAATGATGGAAAAAGTTTTAAGTAAGGATGCAACCTTGTAACGTAGAACTACGGATGCGCCTTAAAAATCCATTGGAAAATGTAGTTTTAATGTTAAAAAACCCTTCGATTGATCATCTCGACATCGAGATGTATGATCATGAAAAATAAAAAGATTTTAAATCTCATAAATAGTTCATTTTACAACATATTATTCACACTTTCTATTTTCAAGATTTTCATACGTTTATAGATCTACTTGATTTTAACCATTTTTGAAATATAAAATTTGAAGGTGCACCTTACCTCTACAGCGACGAATGCATCTGTATGCCAACTGCACCCTTGAATGATGGATGACACATATTTTATCCCAAACTTCCAAGGAAAAATTTTATCTAACTGTGAGGCTCTAAACGATCAAATTATTCACTACAAGAGGTTGTTTTAATGCCCAAAAATCCTCAAATTGTTCATCTCGACATCAAGATGTGTGGGCATGAGAAAAAAATAGATTTCAAGTTTTGGAAATAACACATCTTGTAATGCATTTTTTGGACGGTCAATTTTCAAAATTTTCATAGATCTGCTCGATCTATATTGTTTTTTAACCTTTAAATTTTATAATTACACATGAAAATAAATTTTAAGGCTATTACAAAAATTTCCAGTATTGAAACCACATTTTTCGACGCTATTTGAAGATGCGTTTTACTTTGATTGCTTAGAGCCTCGGCCTTATACAAACTGCACCCAACATCCAACAGTGATTAAGGATGCCATATGTTTATACATAGGGGCTGAAGCCCCCTCATTTTGAGGACAGAACTCTAAACTATCTAATCATACTCTGTTGGTTTCGACCTGGACTCTGCCTGACCCCAATACCAACCTAAACCTTCCTGACTTGGTAGACTCGAACTTCAATTGATGACACCTAAACTCAATTTCTAATACCTTCGAACCCAAAAAAAACATATTCGACTTCAATCGCCTTGGTTGGCGGATTCCTAAAGGATTAGAGAAAGTCAGCCCATCCATACTGCTTATCAACTGACACCGGCTGCGAGTGTCGGGCCTTGGGGCTTGACTCAAGGTATGGACCCATTTCATTTCTTTCATCTATTTCTAAATTTAAAGTACATATTCTCTATCCCTCTCTCCTCCCCCCTGCCCCCTTCCCCTATTTCTCAAAACCCCATTTCAAAACTTATGTGCGAGATTTGAGTTTAGTTGTTGCAGAACTCGGCATTGCCGACAATTTGTGCAAGGGTGGTCTTATGGCCAATCTCTCTCCTGAATCATAATTTAACGGAACTCATTCTCTATAGAACCCCTTTTCGACAAGCTTACACCTGAAAATGAGGCGGGGATCGTGGTCACTGCCAAAATGTTCGAGTGTAAATAGTCCTAATTGGTGCCATCTAGATCATTGATTTGGATTAGATATTTATAGGTTTTAAGATCACATGAAATCAGTAATGTAGTTATTGTTCACCACTACTAATATGTTATCTCAATTGTGAGTTTTAGTGGAGGGTCGTGAGAATGAGTTAGTATTTCAATTTTGTTTCCTTTCTTACACATTGAAATGAGCTAAAAGTTTGGGCTCCTAAGTTACTGCCATGCACTTTTGAAAAATTTAAGAACCTAAAATAATAAAATAACAAAAATACTTCTAAAACTTTTTTAATCATTTTATTGGGGGAGAGATGTATTATTTAATATTTTACAACATCTGCAACTATTCCAACTCATGATGATGTGGCTTTTGACGGGTGTTTTGAGGTAAAATTGAACTACATAAGTAAAATGCTAAATAATTTCTCTTGTAAGTTTTTCAACAAAATTTCCTTTTATTGGACATGGTTTTTACGCAGGCAAGCCCACATGCCCGCATAAAACGTCTCCTGCCCAACTTATTTGGATGGTGGAAATTGCATGTCCCTGTGGTTTTCATTGTCCAACTTGGTTGGACTTTTATTTATTATTATTAATATTTTTATGAAATTTCTTGTGTATTGTTTTACATGTGCTCCTCGATGAGGTACATTTACTCTCAAATTTAAATATCTATATAATATAAAAAAATAAAATTAGAAAACAAGGGTCAGCCTGGGGCATGACCCCTTGGCTTGGGCTTAACTCTGCCCAAACACTGGGTTTGGATTTCAAGCCCATAGCCCACCCTAGGGCCAACTTTAGTGGCCCAAACTTGGTCCTCGGGCCAAAATTAGTACCTTGGAGCTGGTTGTTTAGGGTCAAAACACATCCCAACTCTTTGCGGTTAGTAATGCCATAAGATTTTATATTCCCATGAGAGTATACTATCCATTTACTCCTTTAGCCAAAATCTATTATAAAAGTAATTTGAGGATTTTGAAGTTTGAGGATGTAACCTATTCAACATATACACTAACCTCATTAAAAAAAATTCCAATTGAAGTCTTTATCCGTTAGAGAAAAAGAATGTCTTAATATTGAATGAAGACCATTTAATTTTTGAAGGGCTAGATCTAACTACCAAAAATTCAAATAAATCTTTAAGATATTTTATTTTGATAATAATCATATATGATTTCTTCAAATGACAAACCAAAACAATCTTGGAAAAATTACAAAACCTCCTCCAAGTATACTATCTATACAACTTATCCCCAACTAATTTTTCCCCTCACTTTTTTTCCCTACAACTACCTTTTCTCGCAAAAAACCTCTTAATCCAAAAAACAAAAAAAAGAGACTAAACTACCCCCCTCTCTCGTTGTGGCTTTTATGCACGGCTCTCTCCCCATGCACTCCGACAGTCCATTTAAACGCTTCGACAATGAGGACACGCGCTCTGATAATGCAAGGACTTGCTGCAGTGTACATCTTCTAGAGCCAAAGCACTCCGGCAGTTGGATAGGTCGCTCTGGCAATAAGGACACGCGCTCTAGCAATGCAAGGACTCGCTTCGGCAGTACACTTTTTGGAGCTAAAGCGCTCTGGTGGTTGAATAAGTTGATCCGGTAATGGAGACAAGCGCTCCGGCAGTACAAAGACGCACTTGAGCAATATACCTTTTGGAGCCACATTGCTTCGGTGATTGAATTGGTCGCTTCGGCAATACGCTGTTTGGGACCGTCAATGGACCGTTTTTTTATTTTATTTAAATAACAACATTTTACCTCGAAAGGGTTTTTGTTGCGGAAAAAAAAGTGAGAAGAAAGGTTAGTTGAGAGTTAAGTTGCACATATAATAAACTTGGGTGGTTTTTGTAATTTTTTCAAAGATCTTCCCTCGGATTTGGCCGAGGGAGTGCATGTCCAGTATATGATCCCACGGGAGCATAGTATATGCCAAGTGAAACAATGTATATGGGCACCTAGGGTGGTAATGGAAGAGGACCGAGGACAGGAGGGGTAGACTCAATCCGGGTCTGGGTATAGGTCAAAAAGTTGGATAGGGCGAGGCGGGTTTGGGTTCGATCAGATCTAGTCGAGTCCGGGTCCGAGAATATTTTTTGGATCCCAATATAAGAAATATATTTGAATATAATTAAATATATAGATATTTTATTTGTTTGGGTTGGGTCTGATTGAGTCAGGGTCCAGCCAGACCGACTCGACCCGATGCCACCCTTATTGGGCCGGACAAAGTAGGTATACTGTATAATCCCACAGAAAACTATGTATCCAGTGTGATCCCGCGGGAGCGCATGTAAGCGCCTTTCGCAGTAAGGCGCAAAAGAGTGGCTTCGCAGTTCACCCTCGACAACCATCAACCTGGTGTCTATTTCTCTCTCTTCTTGAAGGGTGCTTTCCCCCTCTCTCTCTACCGTATAGTATATATATATAGACATGCCCAGATCCATTCAGTGAGCAACCGGTTGAAATTTGAGATTTAGGGCTATCCTATTTTCATTGTCATCAAAAGTTAGGGTTCTCGTTCGTGCTTCATTCTAGTATTCATTTTCTGTTGACTCCTAATTCCTAACCATTTGATCAGTGTATATTTATAGTTTTTTCCATTTCAATCTATTCCTGAATATTCAAGAGTTTTGAGGTAAATTCAGTTTTAAAATGATATCTAGTTTTGTGCGAAGTGATTGTAAAATGTCTTTTATTTATATCATATGTAAACGAATGTGCAATGATTTCTTTTTCTGGCAATTATTGATAATTATTATGCATATCTATGTATAATTTCTCCTTGAAACTTTGCAGGGCTGATAAAGTTTTATAATGGAGCAATGGCTTAATCAGGTGTTCATAACTCAAGAAGTTTATGTAGCACTCGCTGTTTTGTTCTTCACTTCTGTCCTCTTCTTGTTATGTAAGTTTTTGTTCATTTAGTGCAATTTCTATTGTATAGGTATTTTGTTTTCTCCTTGTTGTGGAAGTTTTGTGTTTATTAGCGCCATATATTTATCTTTTATGGGTCTTTTGTTTTCTTCCTGTTATGCAAGCTTTTTTATAAGTTTAGTGCCATAAATATTTATATATTATATGGCCAGAAAGAAAAAATTATTGTACGTGTCTTTTGTTTTCTTGTTGTATAAGTTCATATTGATTTGGTGCCATATATTTCTCTTGTATGGGTTTTTTGTTTTCTTATTCTTATGTAAATTTTTGTAGATTTAGTGTGTTAAATTTGTCTTGGATTAGTCTATTTTTTCTCCTTGTTATGTAAATTTTTATTTGTTTGGTGCCATAATATAATCTCAATTTTATTGTTCCTTTTTTTTTATGGGTTGGACTTTAGCATAAAAAGTTTTGGACCTGTCAAGAGGTCTGAAGCTTCCTTTGATAGTTTCTTATGGGATTTGAAATTGTTTCTCTAAATTCTGGTTCAAATAATATGGATTTGTATTTTTGTGCAGTTCGGTTGTTTAGGCGCACAAAATCTAACACCATTGTGCTGGCTGGTTTAAGTGGTAGTGGCAAAACTGTTCTCTTTTACCAGGTAAGCTGCTTATGGGTGGATTGGAAGTTTTTTGTAATATTTGTAAGAGATGAAATGAGTTTTGATGTACTTTAAGTGAAAGATTTAGTTGGTGGTTTTATTTTGTAACTCATGTAGTTCTTGGAGATAAATTCTATGATTAAATACTGAAGTTTTCATTTTTTTTTTTCTTACTTTGAATTGGGGGTGATGTTTTGGCTGGTGTTAGATGTGAGGTAATTTCAGTTGTCATGGTTTCATCCTTGTTTGAAAATTGCCCTTCATCACCTTTTCTCTTGTATTAGTCAGTTTTTATTATTCCTGCACTGCACGTATCTTTTAATGAGAAATATGATCAAAATTTTGTTGATACTTACTCTTCCATAAATTTAAATATCTGAGATGCTTACTTTGTTAAGATCAATTTTACTTTTATGGCTAATTATGATGGAGCCTGCTTACAGGGCCTCGACCTTAGATGGGCTACAGGTGGAAGTTTAAATGTAGTTAAGTGTGGGGATGCTATGTTATAGATGTGGCTCTCCCTGACATGCCTTCAACAGTATCGTGCTGGACTTGTTAGTGGCAATATTGTCAGATTCGCTTCGGAGTCTTCTTCGGTTTGGTGAGAAAAATGAAGCAATTTGGTGCCTCGGGGGAAGACTTCAGATTTTTTTTTTTAATTTAATAAATAAATTATATATTTATATATAAAATATATACAAATAATGGATTTAGTATAAATACATTATATACTTATCTATAAAATATATACAAATAATGGAAAATTAAAATAAAAAATAATTTTTATTTTTTTTATGTAGCTATTTCTTTGCTGGCCGAAGTAGACCCGAAGCAAACCCGAATCTGATCAAAGCAGCCCGAAGCGGCCCAAATCTAATTGAAGCGGCAGCACCAGGATTCGCTTCTCTTTGGTTTATGCCTAAAATCCAAAGGCTTCGGCATAAGAGGTTGAAGTGAAGCAAATTTGATAACATTGGTCAGTGGTTTGGGATGCTGAATCTTGCAATGGGTTCTGATTGTGGTGAAGTCTTATGCTTGAATGATTGAGAGTAGGGAGCGTGTTTGGGCTTTACTAGTAAGTTCCCTGACCCCACCCTCCATGCACTGTTGAGCCTGACGTTAGCTGGCTCGCTACAATACTAAGGAAGAGTCTGTGTACTTGGCTTTTGTAGTTTTGTGACAATGGAGGGTTGGTCTAGATCTAAGGGCTACAAAGTCCTACATGTAGGGTATTAGAAGAGTAAGTCAGTTGGTATTGTAGTAGCATGAGGTATGGCTCTGAGTGTTTGATTTCGAAGGTATCTGGAATGGTTACATTGTAATAACTTGGATTGAAGCTCTATACTTTTTTCTTGGATTGCCATTATGAGCATTTCGGGCTGTATGTGAGCTGGGTTCTGGTGAGGTATTCTGAGCCAAATTTGGCCAAAGTTTTATTCCTAACCTTGTCTCCTCTCACTCATGAATCAAATTAAAATCCCAATTCAATCTAGCACTAATTTCTGAAAGTATTATAATTTTGAAATCCCTTAATCTGCCTGATTTATAATTAAGATGCCATGGCCTTTGAATGTTAGACAGTTTTTCCCTCACAAACCCTTTGCCAATATTTATCAGGTTCTTCTGTTCCAAAATTTTCTCATTATCATTGCGTGTTGAAAGCAACAAGTAACTAAAGGCTCAACCCATTATTCTTGTGCCATATTGTCCAATCAGACCGCTTTGATATGAAACGGAGCAGCTTCCTTCAAATGCTCCAAATCAAAGGAAGAAGTTTCTCCATTGTTCATCTTTACAATGATTAAATAGAAGGTAAACGCATTCTTAGATCCATGACCAAGACATAATTCAAATACCGCAGTTCATCCAAAGGGCACAGGCTCCACAGAAAGTGTTTCATACCCAATTCAAATGTTACTTCTAACCACTATCTGATTTGATAATTGAGCTGAACCATTTACTGTTTCTCCCAACTCAGCTATCAAAACAGGCTATTCAACTTGCATCACCCTGGTTTCAGGCTCAAATTCACTTGTTTTACCCTCCTCCCTTTATTAACATCGAAGTGCTGATCCCCAATGAAGCCACACAACTTTGACCTTTTAACTTTTTTGCTAAGAGATAACTGTTCGGCGTTTTTTGTTAGGGGGATTAATTTATTGTTGGGACTAGAAGTTTCTTGAGACATTTGAGTGCTTTTTTATTGTTGCTATATTGCCTTATGGGAAATTTATGATTTATGATTCTTGCTGCATCAGTTCACTTGGAAATTTAGTAGGATAACGCAGAAGTTCTATATTCTTCTGGTGATTGAGGAGTTGATGTTGCATGCCCTGACATTAAATTTATTTTTATTGCAATACCTTGCATTGAGATGTTGGAGCATGATTGATTTACATGGTTGAGTAAGCTTGTTGTGCCTTGATTTAGTTGAAGGTGAATGGAGGAGGGTCCTGATGCATTTGGGGGCTTCATATCTGAGTGTTGATTTGATTGCTCTGAGTCAAATGATTGAGATATTCAGAAGGAAAAGAAGCCAATAGAGTGCATAGGTAAGTATATGAATGTTGGAGGAATAGGATTGTGACTGGAAAGGTCAACTTGGGTGTCTTTGAAGGAAAGTTTCAAGTCACAGGTTTCCGTATTATATCATCAAATAATACCTTAGCTATTCCCATTTTAAATTTTGTTAACATGAGAAAATAATAGCTCTTGAGAGTTTTTTTTTTTTGTGAAGATGTTGTCTTTTGTATCATTTATGTGCATCATAAAAAACAAAGAAATCTTTTCTGCCTCTCCGCATCCAAATCTCACCTAGCATCTGGCCATCTCTTTGTAGCTCATTATGACGCTATAGAGTGACAGGGACTGTAAATATAGGTTTGCACAATGCTACTAAATAATATTTGTACACACAATTGTTCGATTAGCATATTATTCTTGTGCCATTAATTGATAATTACTTGGGCCCGTTTGCATATGACATTATGATCTGCAAATGGGTATCGTAGATCATAATACCTATCCAATGATACTAATGCGTATTGTGAATATGATCTACTAATGGGTATTGTACCAATCAAAAAGATCTACTAGTGGGTGTCCTAGCATTCTTTATCACACCTTTAGTTGAATGTGTACACATGTTCAGTAGTTTGCCTAGCCAAAAAAAAAAAGCCTGGCCAAAAAAGGATGTGCAGTAGTTAATCTTTGACTTGCAACTCGAAACTGGAGTTTGTACAAATGAGGTTTGTAAATGGGATACCTACAGGGTTGGTGAGGATCAAGGTGGTAAATCCTACAGGGTTGCTGAGTTTACTGCTTAAGACATGATAAAGGAAGGCAGTTATTGCTGGGTGTTGATTCTGTTATGGCCAAATGAAAATGTTAAGTAATTTTGTGGAATGAGAGTTAATTGTGATATTTGTTTGAGGTTAGTGTCATACTGATACTGGGTGGAGGTTTCTTTGTGGAGGAATCGAGTTTATCCTTGGCCTTTAAAGTTCTCTCAAAGAACAATGGGATACTCCATGTGGTTGGATTCTTGGGTTCTATGTGGCTTCAATTGGTTTGAGGAGGTGCGTGTTGGCAGGGATGTGCTGTGGGGTTCCGGAGTAATGATGGTGAAATTACGGGAGGTCTAGAGCTGGCCATTGCTTGATGCAGGTAGAAAAACTTAGCACTTAAAAATTGAGTACACTAACAATTAAGATTTTATTCAAGGGTGGCAGGGATGACTTGGCAAATACAGCAATTTGTTGGCAGGGCTGACTTGGCAAATACAGCAATTTGTTGGGCATGTGGTGAATGGGATATTGCATTGCCTCTCCCAACAACATAGATAGTCTACAGTAGCAAAGCCATACCCATACGTCGGGGTAGTGATGCATCACAAATAGGGGCAGATACAGATAAATGCCAAGCAGCACACCTTCTAGTTCATTCCGTTGATTCAGTGGATTATGGAGGTCATACTTATTTGCTGTCATGTTTTCTGTTGGCTGAAATGTTAAAATCATATTGTCTGTTGTTTACCTTTTAAACCTCGGTTTGCACTCAAGAACTTGGCGGCACTACAAAGTGCTATTCTTGGAACAAAGGTTGTCAACATGTGACCCTAACTCACTTGGATTTTCATCTTTGATTGCCTTTCCATCCAGTGGGGTTTGTTTAGCCAAACCTTAGATCATAGTTGTTGGAAACGCATGGGAATTTGAATCGTTTAGGAACCGGAATCGCGGAATCACCTGCTAGAAGATTCTTGTCTTAAGAATCGTTGTCCGTACAATAGGAATCGTTGGGAATGAGATTCTTAGTTTTTAAGAATCTTGTTTCGACCAAAATAGATCTAAGTTTCATCCACATGAGTAATCAAGATTCTTTCATCCTTGGAATCGAGATTCCCATCCCCTTGGAATCGACACTCCATGAGTCAAGATTCATTAATAGGTGGAATCGAGTTTTTGACATCTATGGAATTGAGTTTCTGACATCTATGGAATCGAGTTTCTGACATATGTGGAACAAAGATATGTTGGTGTTTCGAATCGTGATTCGAACATATTTGGAATCAAGTTTCTGAAGTATATGGATCAGACATGCCTGTTTGAGATCGAGATTTACAATAATATGGACTATGGGACGCGTTTGACGACCCCTTCCAGGAATCAAGATTTCATTTTTATGGAGAAGGAAGCCCCAAGCACATCTTGAGCTTTATCAACCTTAGAACCTATATTGGATGTCTCTTATTATAAGGTTTTCCAAATTTTAAAGTGATTGTGTTGACTATTGACCTTACGGTCATTATATACAAAAGATAAGTATATCTAAATTGTTATTTTGACTTCACTATTATAAAGACAAAATAGTATTAAATCTACGCCATGGTTTTACTTTAAATTGTATGTGTTGTATTTACTAGTTATATTTTAAATTTAAAGTAAAGGCTATCTAGGGTGGCACAAGTAAAATAATGAAACACTACAACCACTAGAAGCATTCGAAGGAAGATTTCTACTTCAATTTCTTTTAAGAAGTGCACAACCATCACAAACATTGGACATTATATACTTTGTATTGTTTTTTTTTTATACTCTGAATTTATTTATTAATCAAGATTTAATCGCTGGAATCTAGATTTATTTATTAATCAAGATTTAATCACTGGAATCTAGATTCGATATATTTGGGAACGTCTACCTACGGTTAATGGGTTCAAGTTTCTAAAGATGTGTTGGATAGAGATTCCGAAATTAAGGAATCGAGTTTCCTTGGTTCCGATAAATGGTTTCTAAAGATGTGTTGAATCGAGATTCCAAATTAAGGAATCGAGTTTCCTTAGTTCTGAAAAATGGTTTCTAAAGATGTGTTGAATCGAGATTCCAAAATTAAGGAATCGAGTTTCCTTGGTTTTGAAAAAGGTTTCTGTGGAGATTCCTTAACAGAAACGCGGAATCAGGTTTCGAAAACAGAATCACGAGGTCGGTGGAGAGTTTTCGGTAGCTATGGCTTAGATGTAGGAACCTTGCAATTGGAGAAGCAGTTTTGATAATCCTATCTATTGTTCCAAAAACACAGATTTCTTTGCTTGTTTTCTTTGAAGATGTGATTGTGTTCCCTGAGACTAGTGATCAAAATTCCATCTTGTGAGTTTAAGTGGAATCTTGATTTTCAGTTTAGTAACTTTTGTCTTCTTCTTCTTCTTCTCCCCCCCCCCTTCTTTGATGAATTAGTGAGAAATTTTTTGTTTCGAAGAGATAATTGTATATGTCGAGAAATGCAACACTGTGCTTTTGAGTCATACGCATTCGAGACTTGTTCTTTCGATAAGGATAGTTAACTATTTTGGTTATTTGTTTCATTAGGTAGATAAACTAACTTTTGTAAGAAGGGTTCTTAGAATAAGCCAAAAACCAATTTTGGTTACACATTTCATCTGGTTTTGCTCAAGTTTTATGAGAATTCAAGGGACTTGACTGTTTCAAGTCGCTAAACCCCCAGTAAGTTTCCCACAACTTTTCTGACTCAAATGAGTTTTATCTGTTTATCTTTCTTGTTTCTCTTCCTATTCAGGCTCTTCCTGTCTGTTTTTATTTTGAACTTTATCTTCTTTTATTTTTGAGAAGAACTTTAGGGGTAAAATTATAGTTTTAGAGTAATATCTATGTCTTTTCTTTCACTACATTTATGCATATGCATGTATTTGATGTATGTACGCATCTATGTAATGCGCTATGTGAATCTGAATATTTTCTTTGTAGGGTAATGATACCTTCAGTTTAGTTCTACTAATAAGTAATGAGACTATATATTTAATAGTGCAGAAGATTAACATGACTTTGTGATAATCAAACTTTATCTTCTTTTAATCTTTTGTTTTCAATTAGTTCCATTTTGGAGACATTATATCCAGATAGTGAGATCCTTAATACATTGGAGATTTATATGTTTCAATTGAAAAAGTTGTATAATATGTTGGATTTGTCTGATACAGTACAATATAAACCAATAATTGAATCATCATCATTTTAGCCTTTTCCCAATTAATTGGGGTCCGCTACATGAATCCTGGTTCTCTATTTTGCTCTATTAAAGGCCATGTCCTCTGTGGTCCGTAAGTCCCCCTATCTTTTTAGACTACTTCCAACCATATCCTTTGGATCTACCCCTTATCCTTTTCAGTCCTTCCAACTTGCACCTTCTAATAGTGCAGTACTTGGTCGTCGCCACACATGGCCAACCCACCTAAGTTTACTCTCTCTCATTTTATCGTCTATTGGTGCCACGCCTAAATTCTCTTGAATAGATTCATTTTGAATTCTATCCCTTCTTGTCTTGCCACTCATCCATCTCAACATCCTCATCTTCGCTACACTCATTTTATGGGTATATTGGCTGTTGTCCGCCCCATAAAGCAAAACTAGTCTCACCTCTGTCTTATAGAACTTGCCCTTCAGCCTCATTGGTATGCGGCGATCACATAAAATTCCAGTTGCACATCTCCACTTTGCCCACCCAACTTTAATTCTGTGTGCGACATCTTCTTCGATCTTTCCATTTTCCTGGATTATTAGCTCAAGATATTGAAAATGTAGTCTTTTTTAAAACCTGCACTCCATATACTCTAAACCTTTGGATTCTGGAGCATCCTTCCAAAGTTTTAACTTTGTGTTGATGCCGTTTCGGGTCTTATCAATCAAAACTATGTCATCTGCGAATAAAATGCACCACGGTATCTCATCCTATAGGTGCCTAGTTAAGTTGTCCATAACTAAGATAAAGAGGTACGGGCTCAATGCTGACCTTCGATGTAGACCTATTGTCATTGAAAACTCACTCGTCTCTCCACTAGTTGTTCGTACACTAGTTAGCGTTCTATCATATATATCGATGTAGGGTCTAGAGACACCTTTTTTTTCTAACACCCGCCAAATCAAATCTCAAGGTACTCTATCATAAGCTTGCCCTAGATCAATAAAGACCATGTGAAGGTCTTTTCCATTTGCCCTAAACTTCTCAATCAGTTGCCTAAGTAGGGAAATAGCCTTTCTGGCATAAAACCAAATTGGTTTTCAGATACACTCGTTTTATGCCTTAATCGTTGCTCAAACCAATAATTGTATATTTATAGATTTATCAACTCTTTTGAATTTCAATATAAGAAATTACATTTTCTATGAGTTAAGATTTCTTGCATTTCTATGTTCAAAAGAATGTAACAGAACAAACTCACGTTACATTTTTCATTTTAGGATGTTTTATTAAACTTTAGAAAAAGCTTGAAAAAGACTTACTGGAAAAAAAGAAAATTATTTTGCATTTTTTGGATTTTGTTGTTAATCACAGCAAAGAATGACGTGCTTGGATTCGAAATGGTTTTGGCTCAAACTGAGTCTCAACCTGAGTTCTGTTTTTACCTCTCTGCTTAAGAGCATTTGGTGACAAAATTTCAATTTTGGTACCGTTTTATGGCAAATACTTGCATAAGGTTTTTGCCCAAGAGTCTTAGTATGGCATGGGGCTGGGTCCTTTTCACTACAGGCACTTCTTAGATTTAGGCTTTCATTTGTATACCTTTTTATCTTGCATGCACATATGCATGTGAGTGGGCATGTGTATAAAATGAAAAGTAAGTATTCTTGCATGGTAAAATTTGCCTTCTAATTTATGTTTGCAAGCATTTGAAGGCATCCTTGTATTACCGCTAGGATAAGAGTAACTCACTTCTTAATTGATAAGCACAGTCTTTTTCTAGTTTGCATTTCTTTAATAGGATCAGTAGAGTTTTGTGATGATTGTAATCTTTTTGCCTTGAACTAGCTTCAGGATGGCTCCTCGCACCAAGGTACTGTTACATCAATGGACCCAAATGAGGGCAGTTTTGTGCTTCACTCTGAGACTTCAAAGGTATGGTTGCTATGGAAGTGCTCTCTCTGCCCTGCTCCCCCCCCCCAACCTTTGAAAAAAAAAGAAGAAAACCAACCATGCACAAAAGCCAGTGTTTGCTCTCCACTATGTCCATGCACACATGCATATACATAACTGAAGTTGATAGTGAAATTGACAGAGACAAGGACTAACTCTTCTTGTCCTTTAAACAGAAGGGGAAAATAAAGCCTGTGCATGTAGTTGATGTCCCAGGGCACTCTCGCCTTAGGCCCAAGCTTGATGAATTCTTGTCCCAAGCAGCTGGACTAGTATTTGTTGTTGATGCTTTGGATTTCTTGCCAAACTGTCGAGCCGCTGCTGAGTAATTTTCTTTGTCTAAAGCTGTTAGTATGGGTAATTGACCTGATTTCTTAACCGTTTTTGCTTGTATTTTTTTTTCCTTTTTGATTGTTCTTTTTGCTTTGGTTGTTGAAAGGTACCTCTATGATATTCTGACAAAGGCAAGTGTTGTCAACAAGAGAATCCCGGTACTAATTCTCTGCAACAAGACTGATAAAGTGACAGCACACTCCAAGGATTTCATAAGGAAACAGCTTGAAAAGGAAATGTATGGCTCCATGTTGTCTTTTTTTTATTTTGTGATTTCTTAATAGTTACGGCCTAAATTCTCTTTGCAATTTTTCAAATATACAGTAGATAAGTTATACAGACTATTATTCCATTGATCGTCTCAACTACTTTCAATGTTTCTACAAGTTTAGGAACCACTCGATTTTTTTTTTCTATTTTGTTTACTTACAGGGAGCGCCATTTGTCATTTGAGTCTACATGAAGAGGATTTAATGAACTTTGTGATTGTACTTCATATTCTATATGCAGATAATGCCCCTACCCCATCTTCCAAACTCTTATAGTTATATGATTATGCTGTCAGTATTTAGTTCATAGATGAAGTGATCATTATAAAATAAGGCTGCACGTGTGCAGAGAATTGAATGGATACCAGGATCGATGATCTCTCACTTTTCATGGCATGTTTGTCATTGCTCCATGCAATGCCTATACCTAAAAGCAGTGTTTCAAAAATCGCCGATCCGATCTGGAATCGGGCGATCCGGATCGGGTATTGGTTATAATCGATCGAATGCAGTATCGGTAAAACCGGGCGGTTCCTACTTTTTTATTTTTCAATCCGGTTTTCTTTTTATGAACCCACCCTGGTTTTTTTGAAATGTGATTTATGCCAACTGGCACTCCACTTTACTCCCCCCACGTGATTACAAATTTTTGCCACCTTGCTCTCCACTTTACTCCCCCACGTGATTGACAAATTTTTGCCACCTTGCTCCCCCTACGTGATTGACAAATTTTTGTCAGCTTAAAAAGTCTCAATGTACAATACGCATGCTTCACATGGCCAAGACAACATACAACAAACCAACTCGTTGGGTTTTTTTATAATATTCACTCTTCTCACATCGCTTCGATGTGGGATATATCTGTGAGTTGAAAACACATTGGCAAATATTATTAGCTTGGGATAAATTGCAGTGAGATAGTGTACACGCGATGGTGTACGCACAACGGTGTATGCCTGTCATGAATAAGAAAGTTATATGTCTGATTGTGGCAATGAAATTTGATGATAAAAAAAGAAAAAAATTATTAAAAATAATAATTAGGTGCCCATCACCCCTATCTTTCACCAAAAAAATTTAAATTTACTTACCAAAAAAATGTAAAAACTCTATTAAGCTAATATATCATGGTATTATTTCATTATATGAGTAATAATTAATTAATTTGTTAATTAGGATTAAAAAATTAGTACTAGCTCATAGGATAAAAAAAATAAAAAGTAATACAACAAGCAAAAAAAAATGTAGTACAACATCTACTTCTTTTGTCAAAAAAAAAAGAAGATAATCAACAAGTATCATATTTTTTTGTTAAAAAAAATAAAAGATAACACAATAAGTATTTCTTGTCAAAAAAATAAAAGGTATTTCTTAATACAACCTAGGAATAAATGGTCTCATTATATTTTTTATTTTTATAACATGATGGTCTTTAACATAAATTTAGTAATATTAATTTAAAGAT